TAATAGTTTAAAGGTACAGCCCACTAATAAAGACAACAGATGTAGACAAGTTCTGCTTGACCAAAAAGATTACACAAACGTATAATTCGACTAAATATTTCCCAGTTCCCAATATGAAATTAATGCCAAAACACACACTTAATTTTTCTTACAGGGCATCAGTCACAGTGTCTTTAGATGAAAATCATCAATTTAATTTATATCAATTTGATGATAGAGAGATATTGTACAAACAGCACAAGATATAGAGCAGAATGTGGGTGGAAGGTGTCTAGGAAATGTCTAGCTACTAGTACTGGATATTTTGTATGTATCTTTGTGATCAGTTACAGATATCATTGGCAGCTATTTTTTCCAACACGACATTGGCATGGGCATGAAATAAGATAAGCTGTATTAATAGATTATATTAACACAGAAGGAAGAGAGGGTTGAATTTCCTCGACAGCTCATTATTTTTCTCTATTGATAAAACATTTGTGACTGGATCAAACCTTACTTTGTAGTGTCGAAAACAGCAGTACCAGTAAACCTGAGAATCAGAACATGGTATATTGTGTTTCAGTTTCGCAGACCTTCGTGCCACAGAGTGACATTTCTCTGGAAGGTTTGTCAGCAAGAACACAGGTGGATGACACAGTGAATGAACTAGTTAGAAAGGTTAATACTGCCAAGACATGTTTGTCATTTGCTGTTGACAGTCTGAAAAATGGACTACTGAAGCAACAAACATTTTCATTTCTTCTTTGCTGAGTAGGAAAATCATGAGATTTTGAGATGATTTGTTATCTATATTAGTCCCCAGCTCCCCATTCTTCTTCTTTTGCTGTGTCTGTTTCTCTTTTGTTAAGTCAGCTGTAAGCAACTGTGGCGGTGGAAAATTATAGTTACTTCAGAGTAGAGGAGAAAACAAGCACATATGTAACAATGTGAAACAAAATCACAGATGTAATACTGTTTAGTTTAAGCCATTATCTTCTTTTCCCCCTTTCTCCATAAATTCTGGTCTTCTTGATTCTTTTTGTTCCACTCAAGAATCATTCTAAAGTGCTCGGCAGGTTATTGAAGTGATGAGATAGAGATAATCTTCCCAATTATTATCTTCACTGCATCTGTGCATTATCTGTGCATTGTTCACTGATGTCTCCAGGGGCGTTATTATGCTGCTGATTTAGAATATATTCTCTGAGTTGACTAGGTCAGTGCCTTTTGGGATTTTGATACCTACTGCAAATCAAGTGCCAGTATAATCTTCTGTGTTCCCTTAATCTGTCTAATTGTCATTTTCTCTTCATATCAGGATCCAGACTTAGAGATTCCTACTTCTACTCATGAGGAGTTCCCCAACAGCATAGCTACTCAAATGACATTTGTGTTTGCACATTTTGTTGTCTCCCTTCTGTTTTATATGACCATATACAGTATAGTTATTATGAAGCTGGATAAATTGGAATTGCAGCCACCACCTCTTTTTCTGCAAAACATCATAGTATTGTTTTATTTTTGGCAGGATATTCACTGTTAATGTTAGAGTTTCATGAAATTACTATACTTTAACTAACACCTAAGTTACATATCGCTGAAGAACATCTTACATGATGTTCTGCATAGCTATACAGAAAAAAGGATTGAATATCAGTGCTTTTTGCTCATTGTACTAGTTGTATCTGTTAAAACCCTAAACATTTTAAAGAATTTTTAGTAACTTGAGATTTTTAAACAGCAGGCTTATAAAATGGAGTAGACTGTATACTTTACAAGTGTCAAATAAATCATATTAAAGATGATCTGAACAATGCTGAGGGGATACAGATTCAGAGACAGGGTGTAAAAAGAAAATGAGCTGAGAGGAATTGCTTTTGTTCAGAATTGCTATTATTTTTCACTTTCCACCTTGTAAAATCCCACTGATGAAAACATCTTGACAGTCACATCTTATCTTAAATTCAGCTTTCTTTCTCCTAGGTTTTCGATTTGCCTACAAAACATATTCAATTCCTTTTTTGAGCTTAAAACAAATGTGTAGATTAATAACAGATGTCTGTTTCCTACAGAAATTCCTCAATATTTCTACTGCTCTTACCTCAATCATGTCTGTGTACATAATGTTTTGAGGGAAGATATTTTCATTGCTACCAACATGTAATTCACAGATTGAGTGACTCCACTAGAGTCCAGATGTGTCAAACATCACACTTTCAAAATATATCAGGAAAGAGATCTGTCAGGATGTGATTAAATTAGCCACAGTAAAGTAAATGATGGGTTTCATGAAAATTGAAGCTGTCAAAATAGCAAATTAAACTAAACCCTTGCATTATATTTATGTTTCTGGAGGAAATTATATTTATTTATATGCATTATTACAGTCAAATGTACACTTTTATAATCACATTGACTTGTTAATGATTAATAATTGCATCCATATTATAACTTTATTTGGAAAAAGCTATGTCCTCCAGCTCTTCTGGAGGTCATAGTATCTGCAAAACAGTCTACACATTTTTAAAGAAAAGTTAAGAAATATACATTAGAACATACTGCATTTTAACTGAGGGACTATCAGTTAAAATGTATTTTACAGCTTTCATAATACACCACAGACCTGAGTAATTTGTTCTCTGTTGGGATGCCTAATAAAGTAAACACGTGGGTAACATACTGGATCTCATTTGAACTTTTCAAAATAAACTGGCTAGAAATTCTGTCAGAGTTGAGCATTTTACTGCTCACTCAAATGAAAGGATCAGACAAGTCCCCCTGAGACTGATCCTGTTTCAAATCTTTTATATAGGAACTCTAGTGCATGGCCTTTCATCTTCTTCAATAATATCTTGGAAGCTGATCCGTATGAATATAATTGCTTTCTAGGCCTTTGGAAAAGCATGTGATGTGCTAGGTGATGTGACTGTTTCTGTACCGCTGAGCCAGAGGATGAAAACTGACGTCTCTACTTCTTCTATAAGGACAGTGAAATTGCAAGACAGACAGATTATTTTTTTTAAAAATGCATATAAAAAGAAAGCAAAGAATGGAGGAAGAAGAGATGGGAGGAGGGATGAATAATGCTCAGAAAATGTTATTTTTCAGGGCAAAGGTTTGCAGGAACAAAGGGATTCTAGCTAAAACCAGAGAATGAAGGAAGGACTCTAGCTGAGACCTTATGTGTAGAGAGATAGCCTATGAAATACCATAGAGGAGAAATTTAGGACAAATGGCTTTTTCCATAGTTTCAGTATATGTACTGTATAAAGATATAAAACAAATGTCAGATGTGTACATGCTATGGGGCAGCATGGTGGCACATTGGTTAACTTTGCTGCCTTGTAGCACTGGGGCCCTAGGATTAATTCCAGGCCTGGGATACTATGTGTGTGGAGTCTGAATGTTCTCTCTATATGCATGCTTCCTGGAAAATTGGCTGGAAAATTGGCTCTGATGTGAATGTGTGCATTTCTGTGTGTTTGCCCAGTGATGGACTGGCATCCCATTCAGGGCACCTAATGATTGACTGTAAAGTAAAAATTGAGATGGGCTGACATTAAACACTACTGAAAAGTAGAAAGAGTATCTCTATTTCAGTTTGGAATTGATCACTAATTATTCTCTGAGGAAAGTATTAAATCAAACCTACTGTTTAACACAAGAACAAATTCAGGATTGAAGTTGATTACTGATATTAAATGAAAGATCCCTGTTTTCCTGAAAAAACAGCATCTTCTTTAATGCTTATATTATGTAAGCTTTCATTTAAACATCTTTAAATATTGCATAATGGTTTACTCCACAATGGAAAACACATCTTGTTAAACCCACCTTTGGTCTTTTAATGCTCTTTGTTATTTAGTCATTTAGAGGTGAAATTATTTCATGAATAAAATCAGATGGAGCACTAGGAAAAAAGATGAAATGCTTGAAATAACACAATTCTCCATCTCTTAAAAATACCTTTTTAATCTGAATAACCACAGGCTAATAAAGCTCAGCAGGTAAATGATGACCTTCACAATTGAGAGGAAAAAATAATGTTTCAGGCGTAAAAAAGGCAACCTGCATGCAATATGGTCACTAGTGAATAGTTTATTAAAGCAAACGGAAATTCTGATATCATGGGCCTTTGCGAAGACAGTAAAATAACCATCTTTGTAGTTACTCGAAACAGCAAATTTAATTTAAAGAGCGTGATTTTCTAAGATTTCAAGAGTTTTATGATGCGGAACATGACCATTGACAGGAGTCAAGAATGAACTGAGGTGCAAATGTCAAAAGCTCAGATCTGACACTTAATAAATTCTGTGTTCCAGAATGTGTAGGTAGTAAAGTACATGTTGAGTCCATGATGATGGAATAACCATTCCTATTTCACTCCTGCTGTTGTGGCTCATTGGCTTTGATGTGGGTTATAATTTAAAATGCATTTCCTTCCTTCAAAGTTAACACCCACAGATGCAAATAGGCGTGATATTTTAAGGGTTCCAGTCTATGTTACATGATCAAAGGCACCTTATAATACAGATGTTAAAATGACGTTAAATATAGCAATTAAGAGAACTGCGTACAAACCGAAATGTACAACAGCCCACCTTTACACCTAAACATAGAAACTCAGGCCATTCAACTGGTGTGTTCCTTGAGTTAAATAACGAAAACAAAATAACAGGTAATTAGCGAAAGACGACGCAAACTGTCGCTCACAACGGATAGAAGACAGAAGAGGAAATGGGTGTTAGGTTTCTACAATTCGCACAAAAAAGGATTAGTAATAGATATAAATATAATTATATTTTAAAGTTGACTGTACAGTTATCGTCTTGACGTCCAAACGTCTTCAAGAAATATACAAAAAACGGGACGGTAAAGAATATTAGCACGGCTAGATGGCGTCAACCACCATAATTGCTCACTTTAAACATACAGCTATGACAAGCGGAGAGAGTGCACAGTTCTCTAAACTACAGCGCAGAACGGTTGAAGAACTGGAAAAGCGGGGGTTGTGTAGCTCCTATTGGTGCTGGTGACGAAGCTTCAGCTACCAGCATACAGAAAACCGTAGCCTGGAATCAAAGACACTTGGCGACAAGTAAAGATGCTGCCTGCAAACGGGACTTAGCCGTGAGTACGTTTATTACCTCTATGCTGTGTGCTAGGTTAGCACGTCATTTAATTTGATTTTATATTTGATTCTATAACGGTTTGTTCTAACTCTTTTTATTGGTGCACCTTCTTTGCTTTAGAATTACAATTTAATCATGACAGATTGGACTCGATTAGGTGTTTTCGTTAACAGGTGTAATTTATGCGTTTTACCACTACAACTTAACGGTGACAGACAGGTAAATGAAAAGCAATTAATCAATTCCACTCCAAGCCAAAAGAAAACGTGCTGCATTCAGTAGCGCGAAAATTGTGACCTTTCTTGAAAAGTTGTTTTTCTAATTAAAACAAACGTACAGTACATTCGTGTTGCCTGGAAAGCTTTATTGGTTGGAGAAAATGTATATTGTACATGTATTGTATATCACAAATAACATGCTAGTCTCGTACAAGTCACATTTTCTCCTAAATCAACCTCAAGACATCATGCAATGATCGTAGAACATATATAAAACAATGGTTTAGATTATAGATTTACGTATTATGATGCATAAATAATAGGAAAACATACAGACTTACATTTGCTTTAATTAATTTAATTACAAACGATGAACTAAAATATGTCTTTTAACCAAACCCTTACATCTAAACATAAATATGTATTGATTACAAACAAGTAACATCAGTCTAACTAAATCATATCGGTTATCATTTAACAAGGCACTATCAATTGGCTCTTCTCTTAAACACCATTCAAACACATAGTGAATATTGAATCCTTTCAATCCACCACAGTGAATATATTTACATGTAGTTACAAAACTAGCGAATGCACAAAGAGTAAGACAGAAGTGGTCACATCTGTCAAAGTCCTTACGTCGCTAGTAATTCAATTCTATGTTTAAACGAGGTTGCTACAGCATAATGGTGGAATCTATAGGTTTGATCATTTTTGTAAAAGAAGAAGCCGTTCTTTTGCTCCCTTTTTGAAGTTAGAGTGAAATACTGGCAGATAGTGAATGCAGTTGCCTTTTTTTGCCTGTTTGAGAGTTGCTGTGTGTTGCTTAGCTGTCAAAATGAAATTGTCCTTCTCTGTTCACTTTCCTGCAGGCGCGCACCTGCTGAAAACAAGAACGGGTATTCTCCAATAAGGACAAAACCATTATATTATCAGCTAAAAGTTGATTACTCGTCCACAATGTATAACATCACAAATAAAACAGTCTGCAGTTTCCGATCCCCCGCTGAACACGCTCAGGTGTTAAACGTCTGCGTCATGGTGGTGCTGGTTATTGGTATAACGCTGGGCAATGTGGTGAGTCTGGCGATATTTTTGGGATCAAAGCGGCTGAGGACCCCGCAGGGCTATCTGAAAGCCTCCCTGGCCCTGGCGGACTTAGCTGTTGGAGTACTGGTGGTTCCGTACTCCGTTCACACAGAGATACAAATATTATCTCAAGGGCTAGAACGCGTCGAGGCGCCATCGGAAGAGAAAAGGCGCTTCCATCCCTGCGACCTGATGGGGCCCGTTTTCGCGGGGTGCACGTTCGTTTCCATCACAACCATCTTCCTGATGTCTGTGGAAAGGAGCATCAGCGTGCTGAAACCTCTGCACAAGAACGTGGTCGTCACCAAGAGGAGGACGCTGTCCCTCATCCTGTTTTCGTGGGCACTGTGCTTTTTTCTCGCCGTCGCTCCTTTGCTCTTCAGCCGGGACATCACCCTGCAGTTCAACCCCTGCAGCAGAATGTGCAACTACGCCTTCTCATCGCTAGGGCGGCGGCACCCGGGGTGGAACGTGATGCTCCTGTTCCCTGCCTTCGATTTCTCGCTTCTGGGTGGGACCTTCGTGATCAATCTGATAACATTCGGCGCTATACGTCAGGTTTGCAAAATGAGACAGAAGCTGGCCGAAACTGGGGTCCGGCGCATCTCCAACAGACCTTCTTTTTCTGACATACGTGCAGCCAAAACCATCGCCATTCTTACTTTGTCCTTTTCGGCTTCTTTTGGTCCTGTCGCAGTGTTTGTGGTCGGCAGCGTCCTAGGCTACCAGTGGTGCGATTTCTCTTTCTACGCCTTCTGGATTTTGACCTCCAACAGCTGCTGGAACGTGATTATCTACAGCGTCCGCGACCAGAGATTCCGTCGCAAGACCAAGGAGCTGTTCTTTGGGAAGGTGCTGAAAGGCAGACGCCGCCCCAAGGCGACAGATGAGCGTCACCCTGGACACTGCATGGCCGTGATTAAGGAAATGCTGCGGCCGGAGTATGTGTGATCGGCTGTGTATATGCTGGAAATCATTGTACAGATTCTTCAATACCATTACACCAGGAAAGACATTAACAGATAAAAAGTAGCAAACAATGCGTTAAAACCTGTACTGTACTGTACCGTACCTCTTAAACGTAAGAAAGAGTTGGCGTCTATATGTTAAGTGTAAGCTTTGGTCCCGTTATTGTCGTTTTTTTCAGTTAAGCAGTTTAAAATACTTTTGAGTTATATAGAATTCTCTAGTTTAGTCTGTAGGTAGGTTTAGGTTAATTTAACTTTCTGTGTTTTCAGATAAGTTACGGGGAGAACGTGACTAGGAAAGAGGGGAGAGATCAGGAACCGAGAGGGGGAGACGGTAGCAGGTGTAAATATGGCTGTTTAGCAATAAACTGTAAAAAGAATATTCGTCTCCATCCAGTTCCCATGCTCACAGGCAGAGGGTTTAACCACCATCACACAAACCCTACGGTTACATAGGTTATACAGTACGTTTACTGCCTTTTTTCATTAAGATGTATAGAAATGTTCCAATGTGTGAGCTGGAAATTAATAAGTAGAGGTTAATTACACGCTGAAGAGTTGAAAGAACGAGGAAACAACATTGTTTCACCTGCAGAGCATCCTTCTTCTTCACCCATTGAATACTCTACAGCCGAAACATTGTTCTTTTCTCTTTTTGCCATTCAGGGCTGAATTAACATTTACTTTCTAAAAAGCTATTGAGCTGTTTTTAATGAGCGGAACAGTGTCACAGTGGTTAGTTGTCTGCATCACTGCAGTGAGGTCCTGGATGCTAGTGGGTTCAGTTCCAGATCTGGGCTGCTATCTGTGTGGAGTTTGTATGGTCTCACTGTTTTCCTCTGGTTGCTCTGGTTTCCAGCCAAAGACATACTGGAATGGTAACTGGCTTCTGGGAAGCTTGGCCTTAGTGTCAGTGTGGGTGCATGTGTGTGTCTATGTGTGCCCTGTGATGGACTGGTGTCCCATGCAGGGTGTATCCCACCTTGCACCTGTTGCTTGCTGGAAGAGGCTCTGGGTCTCCTGTGACCCTGTACTGAATAAAGCAGTTAGGAAATGGTTGGATGGGTTGCTTTTAATCAAGGTTTGTATACCGATTGGTGTGACAAATATAATGGCTGAGGTAACCCTGCGTCATCTGGGGCAATGAGATTGATGAGGTTCAAAACAAAAGATGGGCAGAAGAGCAAACGGATTATACACTGTCATGTCAGACAATAAAATAACAGTGCATGTCAAAAACAATGTGCTTACATTTTCCCTGGATATACAGTGTGTTTCTGGAGAAAAGCTGTGTTTGTGTGTTTGAGAATATACTGACCAATGTCAGAAAATGCAACAGTAAAAACTAACAAATAATCAGCAGCAGTGATTTATTACAGAAAGCAACATGTTTCCTAGTCCACACATTCATGAAAGTGAGTGTAAAATAGAGATAAGGTGAGAACTGAAAGTGAAAGTAGGAAAGGGGAATATTGCACCACAATTTTCACCAGGCTATTGCAAGAACATTACCCCAGGACATTGTGACTTTGTTTCCCTTGGCAATTATTTTTAAAAAGATTGTATTTTCTGATATCAAATCATGGATACAGGTGAGACCTGCACTTTTGTTTAGAATTTCCTATACATGAAATCCATTTCATACATGAGGGCTGCAGAAAGACCCACAAAGCCTGCAAACCATGGTTCAATGATTTTTCTTTAGTTCTGTTTTATTTTACGAGGTATTTCTGTAGGTTCATAGGTTCTGTAGGTCACAGGAGCTGAAATTTGAGTGGTTACGGGCAATTAATGAATGATTAATTGAATAATTAGCCCTTGACATTACGCCCAGTGCTGTCACTGTCAGTTAATGCCAAACATTAAGTATGCTATTCGCTTTGTATTTGTTAACTCATCAAGGTAATTAAAATTTGATCAAACTACTAAATTAGGTAAAGATTAAAATAGTTTATAAGTCCCAGCTCCAACTTATGTATTACCTCGGGTAGACGTTATGATGGCACATTCCAGTGTGTTTCAAAGCCCAACGACAGGAATCTTTTTAGCAAACACAAAAACGTCAATATTTACACAGAGGGAAATAACAACTGTCCTTTTTTGGTGTTCTCTGTTCTTCATTGTTTTTGAATATTACATTGCACATTAAACAAAAATTCCACAAAAGCACAAACACGGCATGCCACTGTCTTCTGGTTTTGTTCGGCTTCACACTGCATGGACAAAAACATCAGCAGGAACAGAATGTACCAAAACACAAGCACTGTTCAAGATTAAAGGACTAACTGACAATGAAAGTCCTTCTTAGCACAGCTGAGATAATTTTAAAACACATTTTAATGAGTTTTCCTTAATGTGAAACTGACTGATACATAAATTAATTGTTAGGACAGAATGCAATTCTAAGTTAAGTGATTCTTATTCCATTTGTTTGTTACACAAGAGTGCACAAAACAGCAAACTACTATTTCTACAACCATTTCCCACATTTCAAGAAGATTCTATTTTATCTAAAACTACACTAAGGAACACTATCAACTTGCCATTCTTATTGGTGTGTTTATTTCTATGATGATTGTTATTTCTCTCAACCAAACATTGTTGTAGTGTTAAAGACTAATTCATGGTTTGATTTCATTTTCCAACAACAGAAATTAATTAATTCTGTCATGTGAAGGCCTGCAGCCTTTACCCTCTAGATTAAATAATTCAAAGGTTTCCATTTCTAGTGTTTTTGTATTCTTTAACGATTGCTATTTGTTGACATACTGACAATAACACCTTATCACAGTTCCAATAACCTTTAGAAATTACACTGTATCTTTTATATGTACCAGGATGGATGGATGGTTACATGCCAATTGATAATAGGTTTTAATTCACAAGAATTATCACATCTATTACATCGCTAGGTTTTCACAGTGTAATAACCTGTAAATTACATTTCAAATAACCACTTTTCCAGCCTTCACGATATGAGTTATATAACAAAGTGAAAGACATTTTTTTTTTCAAATAATCATCCACGATTCTTTTTTCTGAAACAGAACAACACTACTTTACAACAGACTGTTAATATTATGTTGATTCTACTGTTATTGTCTTAGAAACACAGAGGGCAAGCTGTGAGCCATTTGTCATACAATAGGCTCTGTTTGGACTATTTGAATAGGTTCTATTGTGTTATCCAGTCCTGTGGATATCATGGATTTGTAAATATTACACTGCACTTTTATTAAAGTGTAGTGTAGATTCTCAAACACCTAATTTGGAACAATAGCAGGTTCCTGATGCAAACAGGAGTTTCATTCATAACTTTCTGTATCACTGAACATGACATACTGCCAGTTTTAATGTGATTTAAGAGAAACCAATACACAGAAAACAAGGCAAACCACATTTCTGAGAATTAAATCAGAAGGGGGCAAATGTTCATAGTTAGATTCAGGCATGAAGCACCAGACTCTTGTACTTTAGCCAATGTACCTGTCATCCATTTAGATTGCCTCTGCTTTACAATAGGTTTTATCATTCATTTTCAAATGTTACCCTTAGAAGAAATAAAATATTAATGAATTTCTTACTTCGCTTATGTGAAACTTCTTCATTTTAATCTCTGTTCACACATTTCCCTTGAACTTTCTATTAAACATTCTGGTAAGGTATTGAATACCTTACATTGATACTATGTAAATCTCTAACATAGTACACATTCTAAAGTGAAGACACTTCTACAGAGGTATAAGGGACCTTTTAATACATGTCTCAATGACTCTCTTGGTAGGGGGAAGACAACTAGATATTTAATTGGGAAATGTTTTCATTTAAAAGGCAAATGAATTATCAGTCTGAGCTGTTGGTGTGGTAAAGAGACACCTGAGAATCTGCTAATCAGCTCATCTTTTGCTGAAGTGAGTCATTAGCTTTTATACTTGATCTAGTGAAAGATAATTTACCGTAGATATTCTGATGTATTTAAAATTTGGTTTCCCAGAGACAATCTGATTTTCAAATTCATCCCAACTTGATTTGAAAAAGTGCTTGAGGTGGCCAGTCAAGAGTATTACACGCAACAGCCAAAATCTATACCAACTGGTAACAAAAATTAATTTACTCCAGTCCTGTAGCTATAGGAAGCTTCATGTCTTTTCAAGTTAAGAGTTTGTTGTTAAGAATGGCTTTGGTTACTGAATTCTAGTTTTGATTTTTTAAAGGGACTATAATTTTGATTTTGAAGTGATTTTAAATACATTTAAGTATGCCTCTTTTGATTATGTACTGTAAATAAGATATAGAAGACATTTTCTTGAAGATTTTGATGCATAAACACATATATTTATGGTGATACAGAAAGCTGATGACTCACTGATGCACAATCTGATTTAATGACCTAGAAATCTTGCTCATCTATCGCTTTTATTTCTTGGTTATTTTTTCAATGCCATAGGGGTCTATTCGAGCAAAGAAAACAAAAGCGCACAGAGCTATGCTTGTTACAGAAAAATGTTACTGCCGTTATCAAGATCCCCTTACGTTTCAGGAAAGGATTTAAAGATTGCAGATATCACCCTAAAGAAAATGTGTTTTTAAGAAAGAAAATGAATTCTCAGGGATATTAAAGGGAGACACAAGGCTACCTACTATCCAGAGTGCATGACAGCTAATAAAAGATACTCTCATCATCAAGGAAAACATAAACAAGAGGTGCTGTGTTCAATGTTTTGCTTTACATGCTGTTAAATTAAGTATGGACAGGCTTTCAAGTGTGATACTAAGCATAAAAATAAATCTATTTTTTACCATAAGCTTCTTTAATAGACAAAGGCCATTGTTGTAGGTAAAGCAGCAAATGTGCATTGTAACAATTTTAAATTGTCTTCACGAAATGAAAACTTCCAAAACTCAAACCTTGTCATAAACTTGGGCTTTGCTATTTATGTCATTGCTTTCATAACTCTTTCATAAGTTTTTTTTCAAGAATTAAGCACAATTAAGGGATGGTCCTTTACATTGTATTTCTTGCATCCTATCTTCATCATTTTCAAACCAATGTATTTAGACTAATAGTCAACATGATAAATTTCAGTGCATTACATAAGAGAAAATTAGTCAAAATGTGCACTGACTTTCTACCTGCTCAAACCATTTTGGCACATACTGTACCTGTATAACCCTTTCCCTTTAAAAGCCTCTGTGATAAGAGGATAGCAGTACTTGGTAAAAGAACAAGGGCACCGCACACAATTTCTGTGTACTCTTTCAAATGTCAGCTATGACTTTAAATTTCATCCAAAATCTTCATTAATGCTGGAAAGAGCTGCAAATCCATTTTTTTAAGAATCACATTAAAAATATTTTTCTGCCCTATACAGTGATTGCTTGTAATTAGCCATCCACTTACATTAATTATGTGTCGCTTTAATTATATCTGATTGGGTGCTCATGAACGTGCTCTCTCTTCATCGTGCAATCTAAACACTGTATTAAAAATACAAATCACAGCAAATAAATTCCAATACAATTTCACAAGTGTATTCCCAATGGAGAAGCCTTACAAATGAACAGCATAGGCAGGAAAAGCTATTAAAATGGACCCATATGTGTTCTGAATCCATTAGTACTTTAATTCTGATGTGATAATTGAGGGGTGTTGCAGCAGAACTGAAGTCTCTGCGTTTTGACATTGGCTTCTATTTCATCAGGGCAAACTCTTGGTTTAATTCAACCTCCTAACCATTTTAATTATGGCATATAGATGTATTTATCCATCTATACACAGAACCTACACATCAGTCTGTAGGCCTGCCTAGGCAC